CAATGGTCATTATCTCTCTTGGCTCCCTATTCCTCCCACTTACAGCCCAAATAAGACCCTAGGAAACAATTACTTCTTACTTACTGGTGTGCCTATTGAAGACTATTTTTTTTCTAGCAAGATGGTCCTTGATTCTCTATGAGAAGAGATGGAGTTCACAGGAAATCACTTATACACCCAGAACAGGAGAGAATAGATACTGTAGGAATTTGGCTTGTTCACAATTTTCCAAACCTACATTATTTTATACCAGGCAGAGTTTAATTGTGTGCAAAATATTATAACATATCAAACCCTGTTTTGCTCTCCCTATGCATCATCCCAGCTTTTCTGAAGCTCTCTCTTCATCTTTGATAAGACCTGAAAGGAGGAAAGTATGTCCCTAACAGACATTATGTATAAATATCGAGGGAATGTTTGAGGTGCTTTTGTTTTTAGCTAAATGGTAGCTAAATAATGGGTATTCTGGTAGCTTCATCTGGTAAGGTCTGAGTTAACTGAACTTCCCAGAGTAACCATGGAGACTAGCATATGGTTTCTGATTCCATTAATCTTGTTGAGATTAACTATAAACCCCAAAGGATCTTTTGCAATGATTCAGAAATAAATCATCTTTTCAGATGTATATTATTTGGTGACAGTTGTTCTCTTTAAATATGCATCTCTACCTAACAAAGGGATTATACGTTCCCTCTAATTAAATGAATAGAAGTTCATTCCTCAAGTAAGAAATTTTACAAAATACGGCAAATAACCAAAAGGCAAATAAATACAAATACCACATAAAATTAAGATGTATTCAACAAATGTGTGCCATGATCCTAGCAGACCACTAGAAGAAGGCTATTCATTACCAGTTTAAAATTTACTTATGTAGGGGCTAGCGTGTGGCTCTGTGGTACAGCATGTTCTTAGTATATGCATGTCCCTCAATTTCATCCCCAGCAACCACCCCAAAGAAAAACTATGTATGCAAGACCTCTGCTACAGATATATGAATGAAAAACAAAATTCAAGTTTCTTTAATGAAAAGTTCCAATTATCATTCAGATTATAGGAATTAAAAAGGATGAGTAGAGCTAGATTTAAGAAGTGGAGCAGCTGGTTTCCCAAGCCAGGAGTAATAATGTGTTCTATTTATAAAAACATGTCTGTAACTTACAATAGTAATGTGTTCCTACCTAAAACCATGTTAATCCTACAACAACCCAAGAGAAAGTAGAAAATTGCCAGCCTCATTTACAGGTGGGGATACTGACACTTTACATCAGTCTCTGAAATAAATTGCTGCAATCCTGAGTAGGAAGGGATGGGAACTGTATTTGCTGTTCTGAGTATGCTTCTGCTCTAAATTCATATTATAAAGTGTGTTTTTGTCAACTCAAGAGCCCTATACCTTTGCATAGCCAATATTTCCTGAGTTAAGGGGAAAACATAACCTCCTATTTCAATCTAGGTTTTCATGCACAAATGCATATCAAAAACACATTAACATTTTGCAGAATGGAAGGTGAACAAGTCTTTCTTTTGCAGCATTTCTGATGTTATAATGTTTCATTATACTCACTATGAGACAGTGCCACATAAGATTTCATTGTCCCTACATGCACGGACTTGCTCTTGGGCACTTAAATTGTAACCGCAGTTGGTTTATTCAATTGCTGGTATGAGTAGAAAGTTACTGTATATGCAGACGGGGTAAATGATATGTTAGCGATATGAATACTGATAAGAATATTCATCTCTGAATAATGACTATACCTCCATATCTTGTAAAATAACCTAGTGTTCTACAGAACCTAAGAATGGAAAATGCCCCAAAGTAGACAGAGTGTTAACTTTTGTTATTGAGGTACGCATGGCACAATTATCTATCATGAATTAAACCCCAAGCAACTAAATGCCACAAAGTAGTAAAAAACTTCAACATACAAGAAAAAAATTTCAAAGCAACAAAAAGCTGTAGAAATTTAACAAACAGGTCAGGTAGGACTTTTCTTACAGTTTTGTGACCCTGTAATATGTTGCAGCTTTTCCTTCTCAAAAGCTGTAGAATAATTTTTATCTTATCACTTATGGAGTCTTAAGTGGCACTGTTCTAATTACTTCTGTCTGTATCTAGAGCTACTCTCTATGCTCTGTTGATAGACAGCAAAATCAATTTAAACCAAAGTAGACATGGAGTATTTGCAACCCTGACCTTAGGCATAAAATCACCTAATCTGAAGGCATATCAAACTTTTGTTTATCTCAGCACAAACATCTATTTTATTTTTAAAAATCCAGATAAGCTCACTAAGTTTTTCATATGGTTATTCTTTATAATTCTAGAACAATTATAAAATATATTCATTTCATATTACTGTTCATCAATGTAAAGCATCTAAGAAGGCTACGTTAAATATAGCAACAAACAGAATAGCTCTGATAACATAAGAAAAAAATTGTATGTTCTTATCTTTCAATATTTCTATGACTTGTTACAGAATAGGGAATGTCTACATGTGCATAAATGAGTAATCTACAGTGACTCTGTGGGGTACTCTATCAGCAAAAATGAGAAACTCAGATGTGTTTCATGATAGAAACAAGCATTCTATCAGCTAGATAAGGAACACAAGCCAGTAGCAGATGCTGAGTTCTGTACCTTGATGACCTTTGCAAGGTCACAGCCTCAGTTGAGTTTACACAGATGACTCTGTAGGGTAGGTTTGCCCATGTCAGAGGGTTGTTATACTTCTTCAAGCAAGTATGTGTCCTCAGGAAACTCAAACCTGTCATTGACCATCCTGACTCCAACTCCCTTATACAACCATGACACTCTCCTGGGAACTTAATCTCCCCTCTGATTTCTAGCTACATTTCCAGGATTATAATATTCTCCATTAACATAAAGATTCAACCTAGAACCTTTCTAAGCACTGACTATCTCTTGCTTTACAAGACATAGAAGAACAGAGAAATATATCTTAAAATTTTCATAAGGAAATCCAATCAGACTTCAGGTCCTCTGAAAGGAAGCATAAGCTTTATGTGTAAAACTTTATTAGCAAATGAGTTATGGCATGCATACCAGGTATGAGGGTATTTTATACAGTAATTCATGATGAATTACATTTTTCATGTACTCTACACATAAGATGTGGTATTAAAAAAGTATAAATTTAGTGCTTTTTGTCTTTACTTACTCAGTGCATGGACATATGCAAATGTGACTACAGGAACATATTATTAACTTAAGTCAAGATTAGAAAAGTCACCAGGTGTTGTGGCACACGCCTTTAATCCTAGCACTTGGGAGGTAGAGGCAGTCAGAGTTCAAGGCCAGCCTGGTCTACATAATGAGTTTCAGGACAGCTGGGGCTAGAGGGAGACACCTGTTTAAAAAAAAAAAAAAAAAAAAAAAAAAAAAAAAAGAAAGAAAGAAAAGTCATTTTCCCCAGATTTTTCTGATAAAATATGCTGTGCTTCTGTGGTATTCAGGGAGAATCAGAATTCTATTAATCTCACTTGGAAATTTGGGCTTTCACCAGGAGAATTCTGAAATAAAACCTTGACTGTTTCTTTCTTCCCAGGAGGGAGAACCATGGCTCACCTCACATTGAAAGCTCTCCAGCTGCAGTTTAAAGCTATTTGCTTTTTGTTCTCTCTTGCAACTGAGAACAGCTCATCTCTACTTCCTATTCAATAAACCTCAAGGACTTACAATTGTTAGCAAAACCATTCTGAGCTTCTCTTGTGACACTTTACAAATCTATTCTTTCAGAGTTAAATCGTGTGTTTGGCTTTCCAGGATTCTAGTGTCTCTCTCCTGGCCATAGCCTCTCCCACAGATTCTATACTGCTGTTCTTCTACAATAGAAAGGGAGAAAATAGAGAACATGGCTTCCTCTAGGCCTTCGCCTTGGATGAGAGCACACGAGAACCTTACTTCTCAAGGCTTTTAATGAGGAGTAGGCAGTAGAAACATGTTTAAGGGTCCAGGCCTGAGAACCATATGGCCTGGGTACAATTCCCAGATCTCCTCCCTTACTGCCCATTTGACCTTGAGCAAATGATTTAACCTCTCTGTACCTCATTTTCCTCCACTGTGAAATGGCATAACAGCTTCCCTGTAAGCTCTTCTAGGAATTAAGTTAATACAGCACTTTAATAGTAAAGCACTTAGATATACAATACTGGAAATAATAACTACTATAATTATTATCTAAGTTTCAAGATCAAAAGTTGTATCATGATCTGTATTGAAGACCTAACCTGAATTCTGGATGTCTGTTAATATTAAGTTAAACTGACAGCTCACCATATTGTTATGATGATAATAATCTGACATGCTTATTCTTTTTTTAACGATCTAAAGTATAAATACAGAAGTTTTATGATTCTTGTTTAAAAATTAGTATCGCCTCTGATTTCCAAAGGTCCAGTTGCCTCTGCTCTTTTTTATTGTGTAAAGAAAGTGATGTTTTCATTTATTTATTTTTGTAAATACGATGGTAAATAGAATGTTGGTCTGTCAATGTGGCAACTGTCTGTAAAGAGGGTGACCAGTTTGTCTGTAACTGGAGGTTTCTTGGAACATGGGACTTTTGCTGCTCAAACAGGGACCACCTTTTGTTACACTAGCACTAAAGGTATTATGTAAGATGAGGAAGGTCAGAGAAAAAGTAGTGGTGCTGACCTGCCACACACAAACTACTTCTTGGTATAACACCAGTTACCTTTTCCTTTACCAGGGCTGAGGTCAAACTCAGAGCTTGGCACATAATAAGCATGTACTCTGCTGCTGAGCTACACATCCCTCCTCTTGTTTTTTGACTCTTGTAATCTCTGGTGAGAGTCTGAGGGGTACAACTGTGCCGAACTAATTAATTCTAAATGTCAAGCATCTGGGCTTCGTTTTTACTGTTGTCATCCTCTGCAGGATGTTTTCTTTTCTCCTGCATTTTATGCTGCTCTGTTTCCTTCTGATGAATTTGTGCTTGTTATTTTTCTTTTAGGTCAACTCAGATTAAGACATACTCTTGGGATAATGCCCAGGTTATCCTGGTTGGGAACAAATGTGATATGGAAGATGAACGGGTCATCTCAACTGAGAGAGGCCAGCATTTAGGAGAACAGCTTGGTAAGATATAAATTAAAAAGAAAAAGAGCTTGATAATTGTCATACTGAAGAGAGTCCCAGATGTGTGTGTGTGTGTGTGTGTGTGTGTGTGTGTGTGTGTATTGGGGAGCAATCAACAGACTTTGGAAGGCAGTACACCCCCTCTAAGCTTTCAGTGCATTTTCATTCTGTTATTGTGGCGTTGGTGGAGTCCAGACACAATTACAGAGGCAGAGGTGATACCCAGAATTTTGGTCTTAGCACAAGAAATCCTAATTGTTCTTCCATGAGAAACACAGGTTTGTCTTTCCATGTTTCTTTTTTTTTTTTTTTTTTTTTTTTTTTTGGTTAGTCAATGTACATCATTTTGCCTTGAGTAAGTGCTTTATTGTGTGTTAGTATTTTTCTCAAATTCCTGTTAAACCATGGTAACGGCATAAAATAGGCTGTGTCCTAGATTCTGGGCCTTGGAATGTCATTGATGGGCCCTGGTGCAGTTCCAAACCTTCTTAGGATCCAATCTCATATCTCAGAATGAATACCATAACCTGTACCTACTTAACCAAGCCCTTAGGGATAAAGTCCAATGAGATAACATGGGAGAGCTTTAGAAACAGCACAGCCATTTCAAACACAAAGCTAAGAATAAAACACTGCGGAGAGTCATGTAGACTTTTCAAGAGAGTTTGATGGATGATTAAGTCAAGATATTTTCACTAAGCACCTATTATATTCTTCCATTGTGCCAGATATCATGGAGGATGCAAATAGCAGGAGGAGGAGGAAGAGGAGGAATAGTAGTAGTAGTAGCAATAATATATTATCCATCATCCTGAACTCAAGTTACTGTTATTCAACTGGAAAGATTAGAGATACATATAAGAGAGCAGAAATAAACTGAGATCATTTGTACATGCCTTTAATCCCAGAACTTGGGCGGCTGAGGCAGACAGATTGCTGTGAGTTCCAGGTTAGCCTCATCTACACAGTGAGCTCCAGGCCAACTGTGACTACAGGGAGAGAGAGAGAGAGAAGGAGGGAGGGAGGGAGGGAGGGAGGGAAGAAAGGAGGGAGGAGGGAACAAGGGAGGGAAGAAACGAGGGAGGGAAGGAAGGAAAGAAGACTTGTCAGTGTGGAGTTGATGAGCTAGAAGGCAGAGCAAAGAGGACAGCAACAGAAAGAAGACACAGGGGAGAGAGGACACTGCCAGGAAGGCTCAGGAATGGAGTAGGACAGGCAGCAGAGAGCCAGCAATGCAGAGATGACTCCTGCAGAGATGATGGGTGGGGCTGGGCAGTGCTGCTCAGAAGGGGTGGCTAATGAGAGAAGATGGAATGCAAATGGGTAACTGGCAAGATATGGCTCGAAGGGTCCCCAGAGAACAAAAACCAGGAAGAGGTGGGTCATTGGGCATAGAGAGCACAGTGGAGCATGAAGGGACCTAAGTTCAGAAGACAATGAACAGGAAAACTGAAACCTAGCATGAACAAGTGAACTGATCTGGGGGACAATTTCAGCACTACAGGTTAAAATACTGTAATTCTGTGTTTGTTTCTTGTTTAGCTATTTTCTCTGCAGAACACAGAAAACAGTGAGGGATTTTTTACCAGAGCCAAGATGTCCAAATTTTTGTGCCTGAACCCATAGTAAGACAAATATTCAGTCTAGCATCCTAGAGAGGGAAGATGCATCACGTTTCACAAAGCACATTCACCCTCACAAAGTGGGGTCCACTCTACCTTGTGTTATGCTTTTTTCTTCTTTGTGATGATGGTCTCAACTCGAAATTGATCCCAGTAATGAGTCTCAACCTAAACATTAGCATGTAAGGAGATGTGAGCCAAGTACAACGACTGGCAGCAGGGATTGAGGAAGCACTGCTCCTCCCCAGGGGTCAGTCTGTCACTGAAAAATCTCAATAGTTGGACAGAGTCCACACTCCATAGTTGATGAGTTCTTCCTGAGATCAATGAGTTCATTACATCGAGTGCTACTGTCACAGGAAGACTACAGTAACCCTTCCACTAAACAGCCAGCCTTGAAAAACTCACAAAACTAATGTTTAGTCTTAGTATGGATGCCCTTCAAGCACTATCTTCTCTGTCACAGGACCTCTCTCCATTCTATTAATGCTTTAGAGTGTTTAAAAGTTGGCAGCTTTCCTAGTACCCAAGGAAGATAAGAATGGGGGAGAGTAGGTCCTCTAAGTCTGAAAGAAAGGGGAGCCTGGGAAAGAATTCACACCTGGTTTCCTCATACTCCCTTTTCTCTCCCTATATTTTCTTGGCTACTTAGGCATAGCCACAGGTGGAAAGGGAGTACTACACAGATGCAGACTGTCTATAAATAAACCCAGAAACTGTTTGGCTGTAAGAAAAATAGACTAGAACAAAGAATTATTCTATGTCATTAGTACAAAAGAGCCAGGTGACAGGCTACATTTGTTTTTACCATCTAATAAACAAATCAACTGTTCAGAAAATCAGGTATGGAAGGCATGTTAAAATGATGGACATACCTCCAGGGAGAGATTTTTCTTAGAATGCCATTCATGTGGCTGTTCACACATGTGTACACACACGCACCCACACACCCTTTCCATTCACTGCACAGATGTGGAAAAGGCTCTCCAACTGTTAGACAGATGTGTTTTATGTTCCTGTGAAGTTCTTCCAATAGTCTATAATTGATTTGGTTTTTTTTTTTTGCTCTTTAGTCAATAAAACTCAGCAGTTGTCATAGCAACCAGCAAACGTGCCTTTTGGAAAGTCACTTACCTCCAGTGTGCTCATTTTCCTCATGACTACATGCCTTCTCCAATGATCAGGAGAGACAATTTGAAAAATAATAACTCTTACTCTAAATTAAAAGGTTTTTAAGAGGTTTAACCTTTAAAAAAATTACTCGTAAAGTCCCATTCTTCAGAGGTTAGATATCGTTTTTTAAAGATCATTACCACCTCTTGGCAGATGGCTTAAAATAACTCCTTTATCCATCTATTAATGACTAACTCTCAGTTATGAGTGGTTATATCTGTATATCATTTGCTCATCCAAATGAGGGTGCTTGATGAAACCACGATATTATTGAGCTCTTTTAAATTCTTATAGGGAGAGCAGTATTGCTGGTCTTTTATATCGCCAAATGTTTGTTAAGTGTTTACAATACTCCAGGTACTGAGTATGCAATTTAATAGATAACCCCACCTTCTAAAAGTAGTCATTGTTGAACTTGTGACACATCATACAGACCATGAGCATTTTTCCAGTGTCCCTCTCCTGGATGCTTTGCTCCATTCCCTCCTCACTGACTATGGTACTTCCCGCCCCCTTCACCCTATCCAGCCCTGTTTCCTGTCCTAGGCACCCACCTCCTCCTCCACCTGTTTTTTGCATTTTGCCCATCCTTGGCCCACCACTTCCTTCTGTACATCCTCCCTTGGGTGTACCCTTTCATGCCAAGGTTTTAACTCTACCCACATCCCAGCACTGGGCCCCTGATGAAGATTCAGGCAACTGTTTACAGCTGAATTAATGGGATTTCAAATCACAGTTTCAACACCAACACAGACCTGCTGCTCCTGAGTTTCCCAATTTAAAAATTAGGAAACTACACTGCAAACAAACTCTTTTTGCCTTTCATGCAATACTAATTCTTTACTGTACTGACTTTTAGGCAGGAGTATTTGAAGCTTACTGCCCAAGCTGAACATGGTACTATATCTTACATTTCTCTTCATGCATTGTTTTAATCTTAGTCTATTAGAATGCAGCTCATAACAACATATAAGAATGCTTGGCATTTTTAATTTTTATAAAGTTAAATTATGTCAATTATAAATATATACCATCTCATAACTTGAATTTTAGATTGAAAAAATTAAATGTTAAATGAGAGGGAAAATGGGTAATGTAACCGAAAATATGCATTTTCTTAAAATAAATCTAATTTATTTGGGGGAAAAGAGCAAAGAAATTTATTGATGGAAAGGGAATTTATATTGCCTTGAAATCATAAAGGGAAGCTTAACCCCTTTATAATTTTTATTAGCTCTGAAAGAAAAGAAACTCCTAAATTATTCAATATGAGAAAGGAACAAAGACTGAAGATAAATTAAAAATGCTTTCTAGAAAGAACTAATTTAAAAAAAAAATTATGTGTGTGAGTATATTGCCTGCATGTATGTAAGTGGACCTGTGTCATGCAGTGCCCACAGAGGTCAGAAGAAGGCATCAGATCCCCTGGAACTGGAGTTACACACAGATGGTTGTTAGCTGTCATGTGGGTACTGCGAATTGAACCTGAGTCCTCTGCAAGAGCAGCTTCTTAACCACTCGGCCATCTCTCCAGCCCATAAATAATATTTTTATTAGTAGTTTGCAAGGAGCTAGCTTTGATGTAGTTTTGATTTGAACTAACATTTTTGCAAAGCAAATAACATAAAATACCCCCAATGACTTTTCATTCAAGTAATCCTCATGGAACCATGGAGTTGTCTTACTAAATTTCATATTCTTTCCTATCTTCTGTGCAACACAGATACCCTACAAGGGCTTCTGACAATCACAAATATACATACATTTTGCCATCTTTCCAAATGAGCCATTTTTCTCCCTTTCTTATACCATTTAATGATTTTTTTTTTGCTTTGATTATCTACTAGATCAACATTTTGTGAATTCCTCTATTGATGTTAGGAGTAAAACATGCACCTTCCCTCCTGTGGAGCTCCAAGTGGTCTCTTTGTATCTCAAATCCTTTCTAATATCAGAAACACACAAAGTAAACCAAAGATGGAAAACAGAAATGTGAGTTTAACCTGAAGGAAGGAGGTTCCTGGAATTCAGCGAGTAGACAGCTGCATGGTTTCAGAATGGAATAGAAAGACTGACAGAAAGATACCTCTGTGCCTGCGAACTTTGAACCATATTTATTTGATAGCTTCTGGCTTAAATATACAATTCTTTTAAGGGCATAGTCTTTTGAAATAATAAAGGGTAAAGAAATGAAATAGTTTACTC